CTGATATGAGCAGTGAATCTCCGGATGATGAATATGCCCGTCTAGAGTCTGATGCTTACCAGATGCTTTTTGACTTTATCAGGTCAGATGTGATTGAAAACGAGAAAGTCGTAAGGCTGTCTGAGATGACGCAGTTACTTTTACAGTATCTAATGTCATTAGGAGCCAAGGAATGTAAGCCATCAGCAAAGAAGCATATCAAAAGGAACATAGAAGCAGAATTCAATGATTTGATGAGGTTTGGAAACTTGCTAGACAACAACCGTGTACAAGTCCTAATCCCTAATAGCCTAATACCAGTACAAATAACCAGAAATGTACTAAATATCCTTATGGCAGAAAAAGAAGACAAAGGCGCAACAACAAAGAACTCCAATATTCAGAAAGCTGCAGCTGACATCCGCGATGCCATTGGAAACGAAGAGAACAAAATGTCATGGCCATCTCGCCCTTCAGAGCTCAATGACAGCGCCATAGAGGTCCTTGAAGAGCTAAGTGTGTTTTTGTATACCTTGCTGACTGGCAACAATGATTCGTCAGAGGGAGAATGTTGTCAAAGAGTCCAGCGGTTGATAAAGTCGTTCGCGGAAGACCTAGTATTTGGAGTGACCAAAGGGATGATTAAGCCACCTAAACAAATTCTTCTCTCGTACGCTGTAAAAACTCTCACAAACAATGTTGAGCTGGTGTCTATACTAAACCGTTATGGTCATGGTATTTCTTATTCCCAGCTTGAGGAAATTAACACTGCTCTTTGTATGCAGAAAATGGCAACAACAAAAAGTGAAATTCCTCTACCTGCCAATATACAACCTCATGTTAGTACCACATTAGCATGGCATAATATTGACAGACTCGAAGAGACTCTTTCAGGTGAAGGCACTTCACACCTTGTAAACGGCATAGCAGTACAGGCGAGACATTTTGGCCCCCATCCTCTCACTGAGCAGCCACCTGGGATCACTAGAAGTAAGCAAAGGAGTGTTGCGCCACTTGATGTTGTTGCTCTATCCATTTACAAAGCAGGTGAGCGTCAAGGCCCTAAGCCAAGAGCATATGTTAAAGTAAAGGACCAGGAAGCGTTAGAAAATGAACGAAGAAAAAACCTTTTGTGGGTGTTAGTGCGAATACATGCACAGGTGAGCCAGAAAGTTAGTGGATGGACTGGCTATGGCATTTTGGCGCGCAACGAAATTGAGGCTCGTCAAGACAACATCCGATACCTCCCCATCATTGATGCACCTGCCACTAGCACGTCAACTGTTCATGAGATTTTTGTCCGCTCCCAGAAGATAAGGGAAGCTCTTAAACTGAAGAGCATAGTACTCGTATTTGATCAAGCTCTGTATACCAAGGCAACAGAGATAGCTTGGAAACATCCAGACAAGTTTTCAGATATTGTTATTCGGATGGGTGTCTTCCATACAGTGTGCACTTCTTTCCATAATCGGGAAGAGATTCCAAGACGCTGGTTTAAGGGACGTTTGCATTGAATCAGGGGTAATTGCTGAAGGTTCTGTGACAGGACTTCTTGAAGGACGTAGATACAACCGTGCTGTCAGGTTTAGTAAAATGATGTATGAAGCACTCCAAAGACTTATCTGGAAAGAATTTCAGACGTGTGTACAAGTAAAGTTCCCTAGAAGAAACAGTTTATCCAAGATTTCTTTGCCGGATTGAAACCTTTATACGACAACCTGTGCCAAAAGGAACAACAAAGGGTCTTGGATAGTCAAAGTTTCCCAGAGTTTATCACACCGTGCGATATGTACCTTGACTATCTACGCAATAAGAAAGGGAAACTATCTAGTTTCTGGATGTCATACATTGATCTCGTGGACATTCTGCTAAATATGGTGAGAGCAACAAGAGAAGGACATTGGGAGCTACATTTATCTGCCATTGAACAAATGATATCATTGTGCTTGGCCTATGATAACGTAAATTATGCCCCCTATTTACCTGCATACCTGTCTGAGATGACTCACCTCGAAGAGACCCACCCTGAGGCTCATGAATTTCTTAAGTCTGGTGGATTCTTGGTCCAGATCGGTGACCAAAACCCCTTTGGTAGGGTTCCAGTTGATCAAACATGCAATGAAACGGTCAATAAGGACACCCAGACAGCCGGGGGCACCAAAGGCTTCAGTCTTCAAGCAATTCAATTCAATTTAAGAAGTATTATAGGATGCCTAGTATATAGTTTCTGAATTTCGCAGTATTTTTTTGGAAGCAGCTGAGGGACACGCTAAATCTAAGCAAATCCAATTCTGTGCATACTGATCTTCAAAAAACAAGAATTGCAAGAGACAAGGCTGACGTGAAGTCGCTGATTGCTATGCTAGAAAGCAACTGGATAAATCCATTCAGTACTAAGCAGCAGGATTTGGTATGTTTGTTCACCGGAAAGGTTGCCACCCAAAAGATAGAGGAAGGCCTGTTGGGGGCAAAAGGGAGCGGGAAAAGGCATAAAAAGAATTTCGTGCACAGCGCTTGGAGGCAAATCCGCCAGTCAAATTTCACGAGACCCTGAAGAAATTCAAGAGCAAAACAGCAAACGAGATCATCCTAAAAGCTGATAGAGCTCATTTTTGGTCAAATGGTTATAATCGCAGAAAACAGACAACTTCACATGAGAGATGTCCTCTGTCATCCGTTGGGACCTCTTCCTTGGGCACTATCCACAGTAGATGGGTCACTACGGAAAACCAGCAAAGCAGCACTAGCACTGGAGCTGTAAAAGAATATATTTTAAGAAATTGTAATGGGAAAAAAGATCCTTGTGCCCTGGTTGAATCTAATGATATTCGCCTTTTTCTAGTTTAGTATTAGAAATATGGTCTTTCACTGTATATTTCTCGGGAAAAAGGCGATCATTATTACATCCAAACAGGGGACAAGGATCTTTTTTTCATTAGAATCTTATTCTAAGAAAACTTTAAGAAAAAATGTCCCGAAAAGCGGTTCAAAATACAAGCGAAATGTGATCATGCCTCCTAGGCATCCTATAATACTTCTTAAATTGAATTGAATTGGATTTTTTGTGAGGTCACAGGCCTCCAGCAGCACCATGCTTGATTTACTTTTCGTACAATTCGAGCTCAAATTCAGGACAGCTGGCGAAGGTGAATTTGATGACGCTGAGCAACCTTATTAGGGGAAGTTCCTTTTGCTTTCCGGTAGATCCACGACTTTAAGTCTTTCTCAAGCTCAACGTCTTTTCGTGCAGGCCATAATAAGCAGTTAATAGTTTAGGCTGAGTATGACAATAATGATAAAAATAAAAATAATGACAATTTATTATAGTTTATAATTGATATATCGCACAAAAAAAAATACTTCGGATGTTGCACTGAAAATATAAGAATCAAGTGCAACATACAGCTGTATCCAAGTAAAGAAAAATAATAATCATAAAAATTCTGAAATCTCTTTTAAAACATTTATACAAGTAAATTAAGGTAAAAAATTCTAAGTCTAATATCTATACAGCTAGGTTATACTTAATAACTTGTCTCTTAAAAGAGCTATTTTTTAAACGATCAGTATTTACACTAGGTGTTATAATGGATCTATTCAGTCGCTCTGAAGAGGAGATTACTTGGTGGATGGTTGAAATTATAAGAATTATAAGATAGCATTTAATACATTGAAAAAATACAATGAAATCGATTTCCCCAAACTTGAGTGACCTTAACAGCACTTTTTCCGTCTCTCCAGTTTTTCACGAAGTGTTGACAAAACCCTACAATGTACAAGAAACTGTTCGTGTTCTTAAGTCAAATGATCCTTGACTTGTCCACGCGTGAATTCTTTCTTTTATTTAGTATCTGGAAAAACGAAAGCGCCTTACCTATGGCACCTGCGCCTGCCAATTCAACAAACACCTTCTAAACACTCACAACAACATCCGTGAGAGACGCTAGTTTATAATTTTGTCGCGGGAGGATCGCAAGCGGAGTGCGATTTGGCTCTTGTCATAAATCTTTCTTTCCATCGGTTTGGCATACGGAGTAGCCTAGCAACGATGTCGCGACTAAACTCCAACTCACGTCATTCTGTCGACGTTGCGTCTAGGGGCATTTTAGCTTTCCAGGCAACACTTAACGGCGGCTTGAAATTCGGCGCGAACAACGAAGAAGGCGACGGCAAGAAACCGTAGAGATGAAAGGCGGATAATATGGTTATTGATCCTCTGTGAAAAGAAACAATTTTTACTGTTGCTGAATCTTAAACGATTCTGCTGATGTAAATGCAGAGAATTGCGAGCTGTACAACACCGCCAGAAAGAGACTTCGCGACGGTTTTGCAAGACACTTTTAATATTAAATGTTGCTTTGTCGGCCATATGTTTTTCAAATGCGAAGAAATTAGTTAAAATGCAGCTTTTACCGTCAAACCCCTAAGCATTTTCCTCGAATATATGTATGAATTCTTGATAAATACAGCTCTACCAGCTTCAAACAGCCTCTAGAGGCAGAATTTAATGGGCAAAAACGTTAAAGATAATTGATTTAACCTACACAGTTAACACTTGGTGTCGTGGCGCAATAGGGAAAGCGATGACCTTACACTGCACGATACAGGACGAGACCACAACGGTTACAGTAAATTATCCAAATTAACTGACTACTGAGTTGCAAAATTTATTCCTTCATAGTTGATAGTCTATAAAGACGCGGTAAAAATATTCCACGATTTCCGTTTTTCTAATCCAGAGTAACTTTATTTA